CATCAGCACAAACAACACATTGACCTCTGGTATTTTTTTTTTATCAGCAGCAGAGATTATTTTCAACAAGAAATTAACTTTTTTTTTTTTTTTTTTGAGACTTAGAGCTACTTTCACAGTGTTTTTAAAACTTAGGAAAATTCCACCTGCCACTCTTAAATGTAGTTCCATAGGAGTTGCCTCATTCCAATTCTGAGTCTTATTATTATAATAGAACAGAGACTTGCTATCTTCCTAAAGCTTATAAACATAAAATGATAATATTAAAAACCTCAGGAGTAAAAATGTGGCATCTATTTTATTGTCTTTAAAGGGGGAAATGTCATATCTCTAGAGTAAACTAATCAAGATCAGCAATTGAAAATTTAAAGCAAACAAACCAAAAAAGAAGGCATCAAATCTGCCCAGAGAGCCGTAAACTAGTAAACTTGTTTACAGTACTGTACAGAAGATGAAGAAAAATTAAGTTGAAAAATGGTGTGACTGGAGAAACCATTGGCGATTTTATAGTAGTAAAATGTGATTTTACTTTAAGAAGAAAGTTGTGTTCATTTTCCCAATTGCATATCTCGATATTTTATTTATGTCGTCTTTTATCCATTGGTAAGTGGCGACATTACTAATATGTCTATGAATATATATAGAATTTGAAATCAATGGATTAGGGAAAAGCATCTGACACCAGCATAGATAGTTCTCTAAGTCTTACTGATTAAAATCGAGCCTAGTCCTTACCTATACTTTTATCCTTTTAGAGTTTCTTTAAAAAGACAGGTATTATCTCTTGCCATCTCTTGAATTCTTCACATGCTGTTCATGAAAATTAAATTAGTCTTTCCATGGGCACCAGATGTAAAATTGCAACCTGCCTCTCCCACTCCAGATCCCCTTTAGCCTATGCTCAGTTGTTTCCATTCCCTGTAGCATCTCACACACATAATTGATGTATTTATTATGTTTACTGCTTGCTTTTTGAGTCCCTCTACATAGAGGCATGGATTGTCACTTATTACGGTGTTTGGCGTATGCTAAACACCTGGAAAGTCACCTATGCCTGATGTATCAATGAATGAGAAGAATGCATTTACAGTAATAATAACAGCTAAAAATTGCTAAGTTACTTTACTACGTGCAAACACTTTTAATTACCACTGTGTGTAAATTCATTTTGTCTTCAAAATACCCCTGTGGAAGTCAGTGCTATTATATAATCTCTGTTATACTAATGAGGAAATTAAAGCACAGAGAAGTTAAGCAACTTGATAGTTACTTAACTAGTTGGGTTATTTGACTAGTAAGTGGCAGAATCCGGATACTAACAGTCTGTCCTGCTTCTGGGGCCGTGATCTCGCCTATTATGCTAAACTGCCTATATTTTGCAGACATAGCCTAATGAAAAATACATATTTTCATAAATAAATAGCTCTCAACCTTTTTAATGTCTCAAGGCACCTGAAAAATTATGTTCCACACACCTAGAAAATAATGCCTTTTAAGGGAGCCTTCTCAAGTAAGGGAGGATGAGGGCTGGAAGCAGTTTTCTGCAGGCTCGCTGCAAAGCATCCCCTTTCTGTCTGTCCCCTGACATCATTCTTGACAACCACCACCTTGCTTTGACCTTTGAAAAAGTCTCCAACTTCTCAGGATGTCAGTTTCTTCATTCTAAAATGTGGATTTAGGACTATAAGCTATCAAATGCCTTTCTGCCTCAAATTCCATGATTCCGTAACTGCATTTCTGTGCTCAGATGCACAGGTAAAATATTGACACTAGAAAGAGAGAAAATCCTTTTCCTCTACCAAATGCTGGTCAAGCCCTTTTTATATTTGAACTTTAGCAGAAATTGCACAGGGTTCCTCAATGAAATAGAAATTAAATGAAAGTTGAAAAAGAGATTGATGTTAGAAAAATAATGGCTTCTCTGGAATCCATAATGGCCTTTGGATTTTTGCTACAGCACCAGGCTCTACTGATGAGACCCTTGACATTTATACTTCTTTGGCATACCTGACAGTGGATAGTTCAGAACATGAGTTCTTGTTTGTTTGTTTGTTTGTTTGCTAGATCATTTTTCTCCTTCTGCCTTCTCAATGGGGATGAACTATAGAACATTGAGCACCAATTTTCTACTTTGTATACTTATTGGAAAGATTACCCCTTTCCCAGAATTCACAATCATCTCAATATTAGTTATTTCAAAATCTTATCAACCCTAACGTAACTATGTTACAATCTTTAAAATAAAAAGCTAAAGAACAATTCCATGATATTGGAAACTTCATATACTGGTAGTGAGAAGTAAAATGGTACAGCCTGCTTGAAAATCAGTCTGACAGTTTCTCTGAAATTTACACGTGCCATTATCATATGACACAGGAATTCCACCTGTAGGTATATATCCAAGACGAATGCACACAAAAACTATTACGAACATGAAGGCTCATAGCAGCATTGTTCATAAAGCCAAGAAGTAGACATGAACCCAAATGCCCATCGATTGATGAATGGATATATGAAAGGTAGTATGTCTATGCAAAGGAATTTTATTTGGCAACAAAAAGGAATGAAGTACTGATTCATCCTACAACATGGGTGAGTTTTTGTAAAATTGTGTTGAGTGAAAGAAGCTGATGACAGAATATACAATATATATTGTGTAATTGCATTTATAGGAAATGTCCAGAACAGGCACATATATAGAGAGTAGTGCCTAGAGCTGGGATGGGTTTGAGGAAATGGGGAGTGACTGCTAATGGACATGAGGTTTCTTTTTGTAATGACGCAAGTGTTCTAAAATTGATTGTGGTGGTGATTGCACAACTCTGTGAATGTACTAGAAGCCATTGAATTGTGTATTTTAAATGGGTCAATGTTATGGTATATGAATTATATCTTAACACACATATAGTGTATATAGATATATATATGATATCTCCATGCAAATGTTTCATTTTACCTAGAGTAACTATGAATAAAAATTCATAAGCTACTCTCCCATTTCCCCATCACCACTGTTCTTTGATATAAAATGTGTATGTATGAACAAAGTACATGGTGATGGTGATTGGATAAAAGGAGATGAGGTATGTACAAGTGTCTTGTGGTTATTGTCATATGTAGAGAAAGCTATGTTTCAGTATTAGGCATAAAATCAATAGTATTTTATATGCTGAGGTCATTTTGAGCCAATATAAAGTGAAAGGTATATTATTGTTATTTACAGGATCTATGAGAGTTCAAGCCAATTTATGCGTAATAATATAGAAGCTTAAAAATAGAAATGTTCTTGAAACCAATAGGTTGCATAGGTAAACAGGTAGTTTCATAATTAATATAATCTGAAGTTTTTAATAAACTATATCAAACACGGACTGCTAACAGCACACAATTGGTTTCTTACTCCTTTTAGCATAGTGCTTTTAGTATTCCACTGAAACATGGCCAGTGTATGTGCAATATTCTTAGTTCCATTCTGAGGTACTCTGTATATTACAGCCTCTCCACTGTCTCTGCTGTTAGCTAGAAAAATGCTGGGAGCGACAGCAGCTACTATCAACAGGGAACCGTATTAATTTTTTGAAATGTGCCTCATAAGAGGAATCACCAGAGTTTATTACAAGTCGAATATTACTTGAAACGGGAAGGTTACTCTAAATGTCATCATAATCTATGTATCATTAACTTTCCTTGTTTAGGAAAAGAGATTAACAACCCTGTAAATTGCTATCGTAAATGTGTGAAATGTATAACTGCATATTCCTATTGTACAAAGAGAGTGCTGGGTCCTCCACTCTTACTCACACCTTCTTTATATAAAGTAGCTTTAGAAATTGAACTCACTCTGTAATTATGCTTTTGTGACTAAAAATCCTAGTTGTTTACAAGATCATCAGTATACAAAGTATAGCTACTTTGAGCATTAGAAAATTCTTTTGTATTTAAGCTAACAATTTTTTAAGCCTGGCCAGGTGCGGTGGCTCACACCAGTAATCCTAGCACTCTGGGAGGCCGAGGCAGGAGGATCGTTTGAGCTCAGGAGTTCGAGACCAGCCTGAGCAAGGACGAGACCCCATCTCTACTAAAAATAGAAAGAAATTGGCTGGACAACTAAAAATACATATAGAAAAAATTAGCCGGGCATGGTGGCTCAGGCCTGTAGTCCCAGCTACTCAGGAGGCTGAGGCAGGAGGATTGCTTGAGCCCAGGAGTTTGAGGTTGCTGTAAGCGAGGCTGATGCCCCAGCACTCTAGCCTGGGCAACAGAACGAGACTCTGTCTCAAAAAAAATTTTTAGCCAGCATCTTGGCCTGTAAATAAACTTTAACACTTTTAACTTCTGAGACAGAATGTGTATTACAGATATGAAGAATGCTTTGTAAGGAATAGAGAATGAGTCCACCACCTGCTTTTTAAATTGTGGTTAGTTATTGTTTTCACATCGAATAGGGGTAGGAATACTTTTCTACTCAAAGGATAGAAGTAAATCTTAAAGGTAAAATATGAATTCATCAGGGTTTTACGGTGATCTAATTAAATATTTCTCAAAGTATTACTTATACATTGAGTGCCGGTCTGTAGACTGTTTATTATGATGATCTGAAACAAAACAAATGCAGAAATTGAGTGTTTAGAAACACTTATGACAAATTAACAGAGCCTCAAATGTCTATTCAATCTAACAGTACAGAAATAAGGACTTATATCTATGTCTTTGTTTTTAGTTTTTTCATTTCATTTTTCTTAGAGCTCATTTTTGTTGTGTTTTTAAAATTATTGTTCCACAACAAATTTGTACTTTAACAGCAACAAAAAAATTAAACTCGGTTGGAGAAGCGCTGCTTTAATTGGGTGATGTTTGGATGGCACGTATTGTTTTTATGTTTGAGCCGATCTGTCTGCACTCTATAATGGCTGTTAATTCGGTGTGACTTCATACAAAGAACAAAAAAGGGAAAAGATGTAATTACGATGGCTTCTTAACACTTCTTTTTCAATCCACAGGGCAGGCACATCATGGACAAGTTTCATACATTTCTCCACCAATTCACCTTGACTCTGAGCTAGAAAGACCCTCTGTGAGAGGTGAGTTTTTCCTCATCTAAAGAAAAGGTAACTCTATTCACTCTTTCATGAAGGCAAGTAATTAAATGAAAGATTGTTGTAAATATGTGTTTTGTTATACAGTGCCTGTTTAGCAAAGCAGGGAGAAAAAAATGAAGTGTATGAGTATTCTGCAGACAGCAAATGTGAAATATTGTTCCGAGAAATCTTTGTAAAGTATACTAGTATACTACAATGGCTTTGAGAAATAGGGATTTAGGCCGGGCGCGGTGGCTCACGCCTGTAATCCTAGCTCTCTGGGAGGCCAAGGCGGGTGGATCGCTCAAGGTCAGGAGTTCGAGACCAAACTGAGCAAGAACGAGACCCCGCCTCTACTAAAAAAAATAGAAAGAAATGATCTGGACAACTAAAAATATATAGAAAAAATTAGCCGGCATGGTGGCGCATTCCTGTAGTCCCAGCTACTCGGGAGGCTGAGGCAGGAGGATCGCTTGAGCCCAGGAGTTTGAGGTTGCTGTGAGCTAGGCTGACGCCACGGCACTCACTCTAGGCAGGGCAACAGAGTGAGACTATGTCTCAAAAAAAATAAATAAATAAATAGGGATTTATAGTGATTCAACTAGTGGAGGACAAGTTGAATACCAAATTAGATGTAGAGATTACCAGATAATGATTACTTTTTTGTTGGGACTTCCTTCTTCTGCTATCCTATTTTTAATATTAAGATATCTTAATCAAAGTCATATTGACAGATTTTATTTCCTTGCAAAGTGATATTTTATTCTTTTTAAAGTCATTTTGTATTAATATGATCATTTAATTTAAAAAATATACAAATTAAAATTATGTAGTTTTAAATTGATGCCCCCTTCTTTAATTAAATGTGTTTTTTTTTTTTAATTTTTATTTATTTTAGAGACAGGGTCCTACTGTGTTGCCCAGGCTGGAGTGCAGTAGCACAATCATAGCTCCCTGCAACCTTGAACTCCTAGACTTGAGTGATCCTCCCACCCCAGCATCCTAAGTAGCTGCGAGTACAGCCACACACATCACACCTGGCTAATTAAAAAAAATTTCTTTTTAATAGAGACAGGGTCTCACAATGTTGCCCAGGCTGGTCTCGAACCCCTGGCCTTAGGTGATGCTCCCACCTCACCTCCCAAAGTGCTAGGCGTACAGGCGTGAGCCACTATGCCTGGCCTAAAGATTGTTAAAAAATCGTGATATAAAATAAAAATTGAAAGGTAACATTTACTATCTCATAATCTAAATGCAAAATCAATCTTTTTGCTTTTTAAAAAATATTTATCGATGATTTTCAAGATGTTCAAAGCTGATGTTATATAGACATGTCTTTTAATTTTATAAATACTAAATATTCCAAGGTTAACTTTTGGTTGTAACTTATTTATGCAGTATATTTTCTTATGTTTTCAACGGTATTAATTCCTTGATAAAGTAAGAGTCATTAGGTCTGACTTTTATGAATATGTTTTCTGTATAGGCTATTTCCTCTCCCGTGAGTCTCTTCTCTCTTCTCGTCTACCCAATATGTTTCTAGCGATGTTTCAATACTCTGCTTCATCCTCAGTTCTTCTGTTAAGTCTTCCCTTGCTGTATGTTAAAGGGGAGTCATGTGTATGCCGTGGTTCTCCAAATGGCCCCATGCTTGCCTTGGTTATCACACCTAAGACATTGCATTTTGGTTTGCAGTATACATGCTTCCCTCTCTGGTCTGTTTGATCCTTAAAGGTACAAAGTGTCATACTTATATTTCTCCCTGAGCCATTAATCTATGCTTGGTACATAGTAGAAACTCATTCAGTGGTTTCTAAGTGCCTGACAGTGAAGGCGACAGCCTAGATTCTGAAGGATGCGTTTGTGTTTTTCAAAAGGAAAAGGGAGCAGGGACGGTAAAGGAATCTCCTGAAGAGGAAGCAGAATGAGCCAAAACATGAACATGTGAAAGTGTGTGATATTTTTAAGGAACTGTGCTTGGTGCACAGTAAAATAGGCACAGTTCTAGAGGAAAAGACTGGAATGATGTAAAGAGGCAGATTGTGAAGGATTCTGTATCCCATTCCAAAGAGTTCATACATTACCCTGGGGAAAAACCATGAAATATTTTTAATTGTTTTTTTCCCCATGTCAGTGAGGTGTTATGGCATAACATTATCAGTTCTAGATATGACAAAAATATTTCTGATGTTAGCATAGGTGATGAGCTGATTAGGGAAGAGATTGGCAGGAGGAGGCTGCTTCGGTGGTTCAGATAAAAGATGGCGGGGAAATTAGGAGTGTGTCAGTGGCAATGTGAGGGTCTAAGAAATATTCTGGAGAAGAATAACATTTGACTGAACCAATAGATATGGGGAAAGGAACAGAAATGCCCCTGAGGTTTCTAAATTGATTGACAAATGCTGCTGTGGTTTGAATATTTGTATCCCCTCTGAAATTCACGTGGAAACTTCATCCTCAATGCAACAGTATTAAGAGATGGGGCCTTCAGAAGGTGATTAGGCCTTGCGGGCTCTGCCCTCATGAATGGATTATAAAAGGTTCCGGAGGTAACTAGTTAGGCTCTTTGTTGCCCTTCTGCCACGTGAGGACACAGCAAGAGAGGCGCCATCTTGGAGGCAGAGAGCAGCCCTTAGACACTGAGTCTGCCATGCCCTGTTCTTGGATTTTTCAGCCTCCGGCATTGTGAGAAAATGAATTTCTGTTCGTTATAGATTACTCAGTCTCAGTTATTTTGTTATAGCAGCACAAATGGATGGAGACAGATACTTATGACATAATCCCTCATCATGAGGGATAGATATGAATTGCAAATTGATGCATTGTTTTAAACATATTAAGTTTTAGTAGAATGTTGCTCCTACCATCGATAGAGGCCTGTGTGTGTAACTTAGTGACTTTAATAGAATTTTCTTCAGACCTGATCCCAGTATAATTTAAGAAAGGTACTTTAAGGTCATCAACAGGATGGCATAGCAATCTATTCTAGCACTTAGTGATTTAAATTAGGAAACATTTATTATAGTTCAGAGAGGTGGTTGAGACAGATGTATGCTGACTTAGTTAGGGCTAGATGTTTAGTAGTTATTAGGCTGGTTGGGTTAGCAGGGGAGGGGACTCACATTTTTGACAATTGCCTTGATGTCCTCTGGGATGGTGGCCACGTTTCTCTCTCATCGTTCATCCGGCCAGTCCAGGCTCATTCCCAACTGTAGCAGAAGGGTTTCCAGCAATAGGAAGGCAAGTGCTGAAGTTCATGTGCTTTTCAAGCTTCTGCTTGTGTTGTGTTTGCTAACGTCCCATTAGCCAAAGCAAGTCCCAGAGCCAACCCAACTTAAAAGAGCAGAAATAGATTTTATCTCTTGATAGAGGAGCCACAATCCTAAAGACCACAGATACAGGAAGGAGAGGAATTTGGGCCATTTGAAAACTACCACAGGTAGGCATATAAAAGTAAAATAAACTTAGAATGAAATAAGACAAAAAAGTGACTGATAAAATAGGGGAGTTTAAAAGCTAATAAAGTAGGGAGTTCTAGACCTTTCTTATCTTTAGTGCCTTCAGCTACTATACAAAGAAGATCAGAAATATGAACTTCTTAGTGTCTTTATGAGGCTTAGAGAATATAGAATAGAATCTAGCATCTGGGAGGCCCTGCATAAAATGTAGCCAGTACTGTGTACTTTTAGGTTTACTGCTTTGACATATGGGAGGAAAATGGGCTTTGGAACCAGACAGACCTGCATGACCTTAGGCAGTTTCTGTCTGTCATCTATAGAACGAGGATAATAATGCCACTCCAGCAGGTTTACTGGGATGATTAAGTGAAATAATACATCTCAGGCTCCTGGAAAACATCTGATACATACCAGACCCTGAGGAGTTGGGAGGTAGGTAGATCTTATTAAAAGCTTGACTATTAAATGGCATCACTTTCATAGTGATGGTGTTAAACCAAGAAAGAGTGAATGAGTATAATCCAACAGTCATTTCTGCTTGATATCTACCTCAAATTATGTTCTCTACCCTATAATGATTGTCCTGATAGATTCCACTTCTTGTATCATTCTTCTAAATACATTGACCCGAAGACTCTCCTAAATTGTTCTTCGATTAATGCAATTGCAGATGTAAACACTAACTCATGTGACACAGCCCTGCAATTTTTAAAACAAGAACATTTAATTAGATGAATAAAGAGGTTTGTACAAATTACCGTAATAACATTGTAAGAAATTCTTGTGCATCTTTCTTAAGACTATCTAATATTTCACTTAAAGACAAATATTTGGAAATGGAATAGAGTTGCCATAATATCATTAGTTTGCAATTTCCTTTCAACTGTCACTCCTCATCTTCATTTATGATTTTTAAATATACTGTCTGCTGTTGTTGATATTTATATGCAGTGAAATTATACATGCAAACTATACATATATCTGTCTCTGTCTGTCTGTTTTGTTGTTGAGAGAGAGAGGGGAGGGAGGAGGAGAAGGAGAAGGAGAGAATTTTTCTTGTATGTTATAGATTTTAATTTGAAGTTATATGACAAATGAGGTCCTGTGGATAATTGGAATTCTACCTC